AATTTTTTTTAATCGTCGAGAGCCAAAGGAGCGGAATTTAATTGCAAAATCCTTATTAATTCTCTACAAGAAATTACCATGTAAGACATGTTTTTGAGTATACTATTTTTTTAACAAGACGATACTCAAAAATATGTTTTTAATTTCTTGTAAAGAAAAAAGTACATATTTTGCAGTTAAGCTCCGCCCCTTTGGTTCACGGCGAATAAAAAAATCATTACAATTGAGATCGGGCGGGTGGGCGGGCTTACATTTTGTCTTTTTGTTGTAATATGTTTAGGACTTCTTTCAACAACATGAAAGAAAAATATGTTTAAAACTTGTGTAAGGAAATATCAATTTTGCAATTGGGCTCCGCCCCATAATTGCATCCATATTTTCTTGCAAAAATGCACCATTTTAACCATGTTTTAAGTTTCTTGTTGTGAAAAAATGGCTATGTATATAAGAGAAAAAAAAAAAATACAAAATACAGGCCCCGCCCACCTACCCTATCTCAATTGTGATGATTTTTTTTATTCGTCATGAGCCAGTGGGGTGGAGCTTAAATGCAAAATCTTTATTTCTCTACGAGAAATTAAAAATATGTTTTTGAATATCAGGTTATTCAAAGAATATTATGTAAGTATATTAAGAAAAAAGTAAAGCCAAAGATTAAGCTCAACCCATACCTGCCCTGATCTAAATAAAAAAGAAATTGTCATTCGTTAGCAGACATATTTCTTTGCAAAAATTTACCATTTGAAACGTGTTTTAAGTTTCTAACAATAAAATCCATCATCACAATAGAGATGGGCTGGGTGCGCGGGGTTAATATTTTGCCTTTTTTTTTCTAAATGTACGTACTATTCTTTGAACAACACGATAGTCAAAAGCATGTTTTGAATTTCTTGTAAAGAAATAAGTATTTTGCAGTTAAGCTCCGCCTCTTTGGTTCACGGCGAATAAAAAAATCATTACAATTGAGACAGGGCGCGTGGGCGGGCTTACATTTTGTCTCTTTGTTTTAATATGCGTAGGACTTCTTTCTTGAAAGAAAAACGTGTTTAAAACGGAAAATTTGTGTAAGGAAATATCGATTTTGCAATTAGGCTCCGCCCCATAATTGCAAAATCCATATTTTCTTGCAAAAATGTACCATTTACTGGACGTTCTGCTTCCAAAAATATAGCGGAGCAAATATTCGGAGTGAAATTCTAATTTTTTGAAATTTTTAAAAATTACGATATTTCGAGTTGTCGGCTATGGTTCGAAAACAAAATACTCTGTATAGCCGCACAATTTTAGTGGCGTTTTTTTTCTATCTCTATTAATTAAAGAGTTATCGAGGACCGTGCGACTAGTGATTCACCCTGTATATTGGATATTAGTAATTTAGTTAATACGAACACTTTTGTAAACAGTGCAATTGTGTCTCGGAAAGTATGAGTTACCTATTTCTTCTAGTAATTATTTATTTTACAATGAATAACGCCTACGTAAACTATTAGAACAGACAATAACTGCTTATAATATAATCTTTCTGACTGCAGCGCGCAACTGACCCTGACATCTCAGCTAGTTTCCGGGCAACTTTCCTTTGAGACTACAACTTGCAAATTTTTTTGACAGCGGCATTCAACTGACCCATCTATCTATCTAGACCGATATTTTGATTTTGTAAATGAATGTCAAATTGACTAAGACATTTTTTAATGATTGTTCTTAAGGCCAGTCGTCTGCAAGGAATTTTCGGTACATTTTCAGAATGTGCTGTCTCCATTATTAATTATGGTTGCGAAATTTTAAATATAAGTTGTCCACAACTTTCTTTTTATAACGCAAGTTTTGTCAAAAACAGTTTGTGATCATACTTTTTGTTTTTATTTTGGTGAAATTTTTGCATTTACATAACGCATATTTAAAAATCAGTATCTCAATTATTTAAGGAAATTTCGGAACACGGTTTTCAACACAGTTTTCAGCTTACAAAACTCCAGAAATCGTACCAGATATATCGATCGATTATTTTTAAAGTTTTGCAAGCTGAAAACACTGCTGAAAACCGCCCTCCAAAATGTTTGTAAATAATTGAAATGTTGGTTTTATTAAAATACGTGATGCCAAAATTTCAACAAAATTTAAGAAATTTATGATAGTAAACTGTTAAAAAAACCTACAAGTTTTAAGTTAGATACACATAAAATTTCATAACAATAGGTAAGTATGTTAATATTGGAGATATTACATTCTGAAAATATGTTGACATAAGAGCCAAAGGTAGCGACTCCTCTTAAAATAATGCAGCGTTTAATTAATGTGCCATTTTTTAATCACCCTATACCTAAGTATTAGGTTAAAGCCCAAATTTTATTATTTATTTAAATAATTAACCAAACAACGATTTTTTTCAAAACGTTATCATGATTTTCTTAAGAAATCTGATGCGAGCGGCAGAATCCATTCTTTGTTTTTAATAAAAGTGTTTTTTCACGTTAACTCATCATTTATAGTGAAATTTCAGTTTTATATAGGAATTTCCTATATTATACTTAGTTAAATTTTCATTTTAAGTTTCTTTTACTGTGTTATTTTTCAAGTTTAAAGCTGTAGTTTTTCCAATAAATGGCACTTTTTTTCTTCCAGTAAAAGTAATGGAGTCCATCCGATGTGTCTTGACTCCTACAATACAAAACAATAGGTTTCCCGTTTTCCGTCTATCTGTCGTGTCTATCATCGTCATCTGTTTCAACTTTTATTAGACAAATAATCTCCGGAACTACTGGACTGATCGTTGTCAAATTTTAGAGATATTTTGGTAATATCCTGTAAATATTCTTGTCAGTCTGTCAATTTGTCGTCTGCCGTCTGTCCAGATTAAACATGTGATGAATTACGTTCAACCAAAGAACTTTAACCAGTTGTAATGAGCTCATATCTATTAACAAAAAAAATTGTTGTCATTAAAAAAAAAGTTTGAATTATATTTCTCTTATCTGTGGCATACCTGTTTAACGCACACTCTATGGGAAGATATGCCTAGAAAAGATATTGTAAAAAAAATATTTAAATACATTTATTGTTTATACCTACTTTAACTAGTATAAGAAACCCTAATTTTTATTTTGCTTATACATAAAAACCCTGCTTGAATCAGTCCAATAGAAGTCATGTGCCGACGTTAACCCTTTTTAGCTAGAATTTTTCAAAATTAACAACAATGCTATATTTAAAATAGTTAGATATTTATAAGACTATTGTGACTATAGAGAGAAAAATATTTTTCACACATATTCACTGTTGGCCAAATTGAGTCCCTAGTATTACCTAAATATACTTAGGTATAGTGAACCAAGAGCTATAAGATTATATGGCCATCATAAAAGTAGTTGACCGCAAATAAATACCCCCTTTGTGTGGTTCGCACTAAGCTTACCGGTTGGCAATAAATCATCTTCTGAACATTTCTTGCTCATATTTAACAGGGCCGGCTTTCAAAGCGAGTGGTTATTTCGGAACCCTCAGCGGCTGCAGGTAGTAAAGAAATAGTGGAGTGGTGGATTTTCATATTTAGTGAAAGCCGCCCCTGAACGAAACCACAAGAGCCGGTCGAGCTGCAGTGGACACGTTATTAACGACCCTAAAACCTTTTCTATTGTAAACAACTTAACTTCGACACAATGGGATGATTTTATGATGGCCATATAACCTTATAGCTCTTGGTTCACTATACATTAAATTACGATAAATACATGGAAAACTGAGCAAAATTGAGACTAGTAATATAATAAGTAATACAGCTAAATTTATTATCTAGCAAAATTTTCGTTTAATACTAAAAATTCACTGAATTTACTAGTACGGATTTAAAATGCGCGATGGCAGCACCAGCTGTAGATTCTTCATACAGAATTTCTCTACTGAAACTTCTGATGTCTAAAACCAAACATTTTAAATTTAAAATGACACTTTCATTCCGATTAAATTTCAACTTTTTTAACAATTCAGCACAAGAATAAAGAAAACAATGGGAAAAACAAAAGCGAGTCTGAAATATTGTTCTGAAAACGATAATAAGGACACAGATTTTTTTGAAATTGAGACGAAAATGGAATATCTATTCGAAATGTTAATGGTTGAAGCTTAATGCAACAAATAAGTAAGTTTTTCCAAAATAATAACTACATACTTTAGTAATTTCAATTTTGAACCTAAATAAAATTGAGACCACTCAGATAGTAAGCTAAAAAATATCGTAGAGGATGCAGCAACGTTTTGATTATTAAAATGAATTTAAGATGACTTGCACAATAGGTGTTGTGAAAAAAACTGCTTGGTCTTCTCATAAAATTTCCTGATATAAAATCTTTACAAAATTATAATATCTGACATGTACGGTATATTGGTCACGCTTCAAGGGTCCGGGAAAGTACTATCTAAATTCATTAGATTTTTTTACCTACACAACAGTGAATGTTTTTATGCCAAAAAAGTGCGATAAAATTAAAAAACTGAATTTTAACAAAAACATGAAACGGCAACAAAAATTTCACAGTAACAAAACATATTTGATAAAAGCAGTTTTCTGCTGTAACTGAACCGAACACACCATGTTTGTGCTACGACCGATCGTTATGAAAACTCCAATGTTTACATAGGTACTTCTGACAAGTTTTTTTTTTTTGCCACTGCAGTAAGTAATCTATCGTTAATTTTTAATTATAGAGAAATTAAATTTGTAATCATTTCCATAAAAATCTGTAAATTGTGGTCAAACAATATAACACTATTTAACGAATTTAATTAAACATTTCAGACTTGCTGCACCCTAGTTGTATGTATATATTCAAAATAAAACACTCCTGAGGCCATTCTGTCAAGAATCAATGCCCACACACCGTTCCACCGCTCCAGATTCGCCCAGCGACTAATGTTTGCCCTGTAACACCTAAATTACTTCAGTAAACATCTGCCACAGTAACCACACCCAGTGTATTGGCAACACATTCACACACAACGCTTGAAAATGAGTTCGTAGGCTGGCCAACAGGTCGCTCCAATCTTCGTTCTATTGGTCAGGAAACAACACAAAACACGAGAGAGGCGTAGCCTTAACTTTATATAAGCCCACCCTGAATAAATGAAGAACAGTTACTAAGGATTATCTACCATGCCAGTTAACGGCCACACTGCACCAGCACCCATACCATGTGAATCGCTCTTAAGTTAATATGATTAAACATGTAAATAAATATGGTGAATTAGGACGATAAGCGCTCGCTCCTCAAACTTGTTATGGCTCACAAACCCATCAAATCGTTCACTATTAACTCTATTTTGGCTAAAAGTGCAACTGATTGTGACAAAAGCATCGCTGAAGCTTGTGAGCATGAAGACAGTGATTGTGAGTCGGATTTGGACGTCACTGGGAGCGATACGCCACCTCTGGACTGCTCCCAGAAGTCCGCCGAAGACAAAGAAGCGAACGAGGGTGAGTATTTAGAACTCGCCCGAATAAGGGTAATTAAATACTGGAAACTAAGTTTTATTCAGGTGGCTAAGTTTTAATAACTATGATGGTCGGTTCGTGGTAGCGACAGTCCATAATTTATGGATTATACTTTACGTATTTTAGCACTGAGACGAAGTGGTTGAATTTTTAAAGTGCATGTTAATAATTCACTTTCGTAGTGACTGATTTTATTCATCGCAGTGCTGAATGAATGTTAGTGCAGGTGGACGGTCTAAGTTTAGCTTTAGTATTGACCGGCTATGGATCGCTGATGGGCAATTAAAAATTAATCGTAGTAACATGCTTAACTGTGTTCAGTTTTCGACAAAGAATACGGTAGTTTAACGGTGTATACCTATTGTTATGGATTATAAACTTGTGAATGTTTAAAGAGGTTCCAAAAAAATTATAATTGCTTTTTTAAGCAACGTGTACCAGACTTAAAATAATGAATAAAGTTAGTGATAATTTTGTGTTGTTTTAACTAAATTATCGTATATTATGCAAACGTGACTTTTAAAATATTGTTAAAATATTAGCGAGATAAAATCAGTAACACGAAATAACGATTTAAATAATAATTATATTAAATTACAATTTACCGATATTTTTCAAAACTTGATAATTGGACACATTAAGCGTCGCACTAGTATATTTCACATCCTACTTCGACGGTTAATTTAAATTTTAATGAATTACTTATAATATTAACTTAAACATAACTTTAAGATCAATACGGCTTTTGCCAAGAAAATACGTACAAAAATTCGTGTTTTTTTTTTAACTTTTGTTTTAAATTTGATTCTGTATATTATGTTCTAATGTTCATATTAATTCCACTCTTAGATCTCTACCGTAAAAAAATCAGGAAGACTGTTGGGGTGTCACATTGATACTATCGATAACAAAACTGAAAAGACATTTCACTGACTGCATAAATTACTAAAATTAAAGATTTAATTGATTGGAATAATTATCTTGTCAAATATCAATCGACTTATTATTATTTTTTGTACTTATTGTCTATGCCTCTAAATATTATGAATAATTGAAAATTGGTCTACATTTAACAGCACGATTTTGGTTAAAAACAAAGTTATCAGAATCGAATTAAATGGAAAAACTGGTCTGAAAATTATTCTTTGCAACGGAAAATTAGGAATATTTTAATTAATTTAATTTAAAGCTGCTCATTTTTGTAATAATAGTAATAATAACAATAAATATATTTTTCATCGATATTCCCAACTTTTGACACGCAGTTTACTATTTAACGACAATTTTCGTGTAAATGTAATGAACATTTCTTTTTATAAGGCTTGTTTAGAACTCTGTTGCCACATAATTTGACTACTCTTGAACGAAAACAGGATCAGTCTTACTAAATTTCGATACTTATCTAGAATTGATTATTATTCAACTGTCGAAAAACATTTTTTTGTTAAAATTTATTTCCTAAATAAAAGATAATAAAAAGGTGTTTCGTTTTCTCTAAAAGCGGAAGTAAAACGAGTACTTATACCTCAGAACAGACTTTTAGATCCTTTGCTTCCTAATAAAGTACTACCTTTGAATTAATTTTACCAAATATGTGGATAGAAATAACTTTGTGTTTATGTATATTTACAAAATTTACAAATTTAAAATTGTTTATATAAAATTTTTCTTGCCCCTGAAGCACAACTATTAAACAAATCCCGTTTCTTACATAAATTATAAAACTTGTTTTTGCAAATTTAATTTTTACTTCCTGAGAGTAGGTAAGATAAGGAAATATTTTAGTAAAGTCCATTTGACGAATGGCTACTTTCATATTTTCTCCACGTTTCATGATCCTTAGGTTACAAAAAAAATAGGTCACCCGTTTCCATCTATCCGCCGTCTGTCTATCTGTTTGTCTGCCAGTCTATCTGTCTGTGTCGATCTTTATTAAATAGATAATTTCCGAAACTACTGGACCGATTGCTATCAAATTTTATATGCGTGTTAGGAATATCGTGAAGTTGGTAAAACGCTAACCAAAATTTGTCTAATCATCCCCACCAACCACGGGATGACGTCATCTCCGAAGTTTACAACAGTAAATCTTACTTAAATTTTATCATGTAAGATACTCCTGCACTTGAGTGTGAGAAACTGAAAACATGTTTAAAATGGTAAATTTTATCCATACATTTCTCTACAAATTTACCCTTTTAAATATCTTTTCAGTTTTTTGTCGTGAAAAGAAAAGTACCTACACATATTAAGAAAAAAAGACAAAATACAAACCCCGCCCACCTGCCCTCATCTCAATTGTGATAACGTTGTTATTCGTTGTGAGCCGAAGGGCGGAGTTTATTGCAAAATGCTTATTTCTCTACACGAAACTATTATGTGAAACATGTTTTTAAATAACGTGTTGTTGAAAGGAAACTGTATATGTTAAGGAATAAAAATCCAAAAAATAAGCCCCACCCAATCTCAATTGTGATGAATTTTTCATTCGTTGTCAGACCGAGGGGCGGGGCATAATTGCAAAATCCATATTTCACCACAAAAATGCACCATCTTAAAAGAAAAACAGAGGCAAAATATAAGCTGTTTTAATGTTTTATATTGTGCAAAAATTTGTCTTTTTTTTATTTATTTTTATTTTGTCAAATAAGTGTCAAATATACTGAATGTTTAATTTCCTTTGATATTAAATACTCCATCGGTGAAAATATCAATTCATATGTCGAAAGTTAAGAATACAAAAAACCAAAATCAAAATAGAGTTAAAAAAAGAAACTGAAGATGTTTTTATTTTTAACTTCTTCCAATTTTAATTTTTCAACATTGTAAAAAATTTCAGAAAGCGCCAGTTTTTTTATTTATCTATAGTTGGGTTTCTGAAATAGTGAATATTGACGAAATGTTGTGTAATCAGTTTATTTCTGCAGCTAGAATTTTACTTTTCCTTCCACCCTGGAGTTTCTGGTAGAATTTTTATTGCTATCATAATCCGTAGTGTATAGAAAAATCCGTCAAATATCTCATGGTCCACATTCACTAATTCAAAACTAGAACTATACTTCACCCACATTTAACTGTGACTTCATTTCAAAATTTTGATGAGTAAATCAAAATATTCATATTGTTGATTATGATAAATTAAAATAAAAATAAGGGTGGACTATTGAAGTACAGACACAGAAGAATGTTTTAACTTTTTAATACGAACAAATAGGTATGTCAGTTTGGATAAACAGGACACGGTGACTATTAAATACCAACAGAAATGTGTTCCCAAAATTTCAGGTACATCAAATTAACCGTTTTTGATTTAACCACTAAAATAAACCGTTTCATTCAGTAATTTTTTTTGAACACCTGTATAAATAATTGCGTGCTATTCTGAACATTTCTAATGAAAATGCCTTTTTGAAATGACGTCACTAAGTTTTTGGAAAAGACAACCAGATCTGTTAGCGATTTATCATGTTTAGGGTAACCTCAAAGTGTGTACAAAATTTCAGAGCACACTGTTTTCTACTTTCTAAAATAAAATGTAAAATTTTGAATTTTGTGTTAAAAACCTACAAGTTAAAAATAAAGCTGAATTTTTTATAAATTATACTCACAGAAGCACACTATTTTGAACATTTTAGACAAGATTTGTCTAGTAAAATTTTGAGAATAACTAGTTTGAAGCTGAAAATGAATTATTGTTATTAGAGGCAAAAACAAAAATTAAGAGACTAAAGTTGTATGGCTCTTTGAGTAGCATACATCAAAATTATTTTTGTCTTTACAGATTGTTCTGAAATACAATACCCTATATATTAGATATTTTTACTACGCTTTTCATAGCATTCATTACCATATTTAATTTTTTAAATTTCAATGCGACGTTCTAGGTTTTTTCGACTTTTTTGATTTTTTCTAGTAAAGCAAGAGTTCACAAAAAATTCTCATTATATCTTGATTTTTGAGATTTTTGTCCTCTTTCGTTCAATATGTCTAGGTGTCTCTCAAAAGGTAAAAAATCGTAATAACTACTAGTCTTAGATACTTATAGAATAGAAAATACCGAAGAAAGAGGGAAGAGAACAAAAAACAGACAAGAATAAAATAACAAAATACAGAATGTTTCATTTGAAAAAAACCGAAATATCGATATTTGAAAATTCTAGGAGTAATCATTAAAAAAAAACACATTATAGGTTTTTTCGACTTTTTTGATTTTTTTTAGTAAAGCAAGAGTTCACAAAAAATTCTCATTAGGTATATCTTTATTTTTGAGATTTTTGTCCTCTTTCGTTCAATATATCTAGGTGTCTCTCAAAAGGTAAAAAATCGTAATAACTATCATTCTTAAATACTTATAGAATAGAAAATACTTAAGAAAGAGGGAAGAGAACAAAAAACAGACAAGAATGAAATAACAAAATACAGAATGTTTCATTTGAAAAACCGAAATATCGATATTTGAAAATTCTAGGAGTAGGTAATCATTAAAAAAAAAATTACAAACACATTATTTCTCCACAAATTATTGTAACTCACATTTGAAAAATAACGTTATTGTGATTTTTTTGTGAACCCTTTCATTGCTGAAAAATTCCAACAATTTTGCAATAACTTGGCAACGTCGCATCGGAACTTCGAAAGTAAATTACGGTTGTACAGTCTACAAAGAGGTTAATTAAAAATATATAGGGTATTTGCTTTGAACAAACTAATTGTATCTTACACCTTAAAAACAGAACACTTTGTATATAATTGAAAATAGTTTTAGTATATATATATAGTCATCAAAAAATGATACAACTTTGGTCTTTCTAATAAGAAATAATTAATGAGATATAGAGGAAAGGGTGTAGTGACTCACCCTGTTTAAGAAGGCGGAAAATTGAAAAAATTGAATCTATCGCTACAAAGAGTATAGTATTCTACACTATTGTATGATTTTCATTGATTAAATAGGTACTTACGGCACATATTTTGTATTCTCTTGGTTTTAAAATTATTTTATTAAAACATTTAGTGAGATGTAGAGAATACCTTCTTCGTATCAGCATTAGTATTCATAAGATTTTTTCAAAATATACAGGGTGTCCCACATAGAATTCCGCAGACTTATATCTTGAAAACGAATAGAGATATTCAAATTCTGTAAAGCCGATTTCTCAAGAACATGTTTTACATAGCAATTTCTCGTAGAAAAACAAGGATTTTGCAATTAAGCTCCTCTACACAACTTACGCCGGGTAAAAAAAAATCATCACGATTGAGATAGGGCGGGTGGGCGATTTATATTATGCCTGTTTTTTAATATACGTAGTCATCTGTTTTAAATGTTTGTTGTCAAAAGATGACTACACGTATATTAAAAAAAAACAATATAAGCCCCACCCACCCACCCTGTCTCAATTGTGATGTTTTTTTATTCGTCGTGAGCCAATAGGGCGAAGCTTAATTGCAAAATCCTTATTTTTCTCGACAAGAAATTACCATGCAAGACTTGTTTTTGAGCATAGTGTTATTCAACAAATACTATGTATGTATATTAAAAATTAAACCCAGATTGAGATCGAGACGGATGGGTAGCTCTTATTTTTTGGCATTTTTTTTACTACATATAATTTACTTTACTCGATTTCTCAAGAATATGTTGCTCTTAGCAATTTCTAGTAGGAAAACAATTATTTTGCAATTAAGCTCCGCCCCACGACTTACGACAGGTAAAAAAAAATTATCACGATTGAGATAGGGCGGGTGGGCGGGGCTTATATATTTTTTCTTATATACGTAGTCATCTGTTTTGTTGTGAAAAGATGACTAAGTATACCCCCCTTATGCAAATTTCGACCCATTTTTATAAATTAGTGCCTCTTTGGGTCAAAATACCATAGTTGGCAACCCTAAATGGGATTTGTTGGGCTACCTATACTACTTAGATAATTTATATTATTTACTGTTAAAACAAATGCAAAATATACAAGTGTTTTATATCAATGTAATCGTAATTTAATGATTTATCAAAATCCGTTACAAAATAGATTTACGCCGTGATGCTGACGCCATACATACTTACATAATATTCACAGTGTACTAAATTCAACTTCCTCATTCAAGCTAAAAATAACACCGTTTATAGAATTTCAGCAAAAAGAAGACCGCTTTTATTATCGGACACACATACACTATATTCTTGTCAAACTAATATTGTAATATATCGGATGATTTTTAAATTTCTGCCCTAGATGGCCATGATGCTTACGTCAGCCGTTTCAATTGTACTGCTGCCATACGTGCCATAACCAACTAGAGCAGAAATTTTGAAAAACAATGCAATTTTTGCAGCGACTTCATGTGATCTCTAACATAAGAATCGACTTTGATTGCTCAAATTTTGTCTTGGTTTGTAGCAATTAAATATCTCAGATCTTGATTCCTGACCTGTTGTCATCACACCATAGCTAATTTTAACAAAAAGTTTAGTTGTATTCAAAACTTAAAATTCAAAGTGTGAGAATTACCAATTACCGACTTTATCAAATCTGTTGAAATCATACTTTTTTGTCAAATTTTAAGGAAAATATCGCAAGAGAAATTATAATAAGCCCAGAGAGGGTTTTGTCCACAGATCCACCACGTAAGAGTGAATTTGTGACGTTGCGTTACTGTGAAAATTAACTTGTTGTTTTATTTTCGTTTGATTGATATAATATGGCATCTTTGGGTATATGGATATTTTAATTCGTAAGATGGCTATTATTACGTGACCAGCGCCCTGTATATTAAAAAATCCCTTACAAAAAAATATTTTATTGCTGAAACAACCCTTATATAATAGCCATTTCCAGTCTCACAACCCCACACTCCAGGAATCTAACCCCATTTCACTTTTTTCCAGAAACCGAAAAAAAGAAAAACGAGAAACCCCCTTACAGCTACAACGCCTTAATAATGATGGCAATTAGAAACAGCCCCGAAAAGCGCCTGACTTTAAACGGCATCTACGAACACATCATTCGACACTTCCCTTATTACCGCGAGAACAAACAGGGTTGGCAAAACTCCATTCGCCACAACCTCAGCTTAAATAAGTGCTTCGTCAAAGTTCCCCGTCATTACGACGACCCAGGCAAGGGCAACTACTGGATGCTCGACCCCTCAGCCGAGGACGTCTTCATCGGCGGCACCACCGGAAAGCTTCGCCGTCGGTCGACAGTCGCTTCGCGGTCTCGATTAGCAGCTTTCAAACGGACCATCGCTCTCAGCGGGTTCTATCCCAATCTACCATTCGCCTCACCTTTTGGACACTTTTATCCGTCGATGCTGGCAGCGTCGGTGTATCAGAGATACAATCCCTATTTACAGCAGGCGTCTCTGATGCCCAAACCGCCAACGCTACATCAAAACCCAATTAATCTGGAGAGATTAGAGGTTCCGTCGAGCTTTCTGAGGCAGTCGTCGATGGTGGAGATGTACAACAACATTAATAGTTTGAGGCTTGGGGCACCCATTCAGTGTCCGCTGCAGATACCGATCCCGATGGTACATCAGAGTGGAGATGGGTGTGGGAGTAGTTCGTCGGAGAGTGGGACAGCTGCTGCGGAAGGCCTTCTCAAGCCTGTCACTGTGATAACTAGGAATAATTAAAAGTGCAGTCAGAATCAATGTACAAATTGTAAATAAAGTTGTCAGTGTGAAATTTGATTTTGCGACCTGAACCTTGGTGAACATAAAAAAAATATCTAAATTAAATTTAACCAGTTGGGTGGTATTATTAGAGCTTTGAAAGTGTCAAAATTTTTATATTCACCGTCGGTATAAAAAATACCAGAAAATAGTAAAAAACAAGATCAAAGACAGTCACGGATTTTTGAAACTAAGGGTGCAATTAAAATCGTTACACAAATTGTAAACAAAGTTATAAATTTTCTTTTAAATTGTGGTTAAATTAGATCGCCAAAATTGCAACAATTAGTTTGACGTTTATACATTTTAAAATTTAAAATGTGACTCCATTCTTCATACTGTAAGTGTCATATCAGATCGTTACAACCTTTTCTGGTTAAAATTAATTATGGCGATTGCAATCTAAACACATATTTTTTTGAACATTCACCGAGCTGAATTGCTGGTAGCATTAGCGAATTAAAAAATAAATCTAATTCCTTTTTTTTCGATCGCACGGTGTTACGAAATTTCTTTTTGCGACAGAGTTTATGGAAACGGCTTCCTCAAGTCGCAAATTTTTTGCACCAATTCTGTAAAGATTTGGCGCGTTCGTGTTGGACTGTGGAATTTATAAGTTCTTATCTTGGAAGATTAAATTTTATTTTTAGGTTAACGAAATAATTCTTATTTAATAGATGTTTATTGTCGGTGGTAAAAAAATAGGAAACTTTTTCGTTTTAGAAGGTAAATACAAACGTGTTGTAGGACAACATCGACATTAAAATTTACCATATCTAAGCTTACGATTTTTTAGTAGTGAAGGTGAAGATCTAATTTTTATAATTATAACTACCACTGTGGTCTTGGAGATCGTGAACGATGCAAGGTAAGTGTAGTAATTTAAATTATTTAGAAGAGAGAATTATAATTTTTTATAAGGAACAACATCAATGAACCAGAAAATTAGAGTAAAAGATTGTATTTCGTATGATTCACAAGACAGCAGAAATTAATTATATATAATTTTTAAAAAGGTCAAGATTTTTTCAGTTGTTTTTTATTTTGTCAGTTTGAAAACTTTACAGAGTTATGAAATTTGAATTCAGGATATTTGAGTTGTCGTGTGTTTTTTTTTTCAATACTAAATGAAAAGAAAATGTTTGCAACTAAAATTAATAAAAAAAAAAGCAAACACATATTGATGTATTAAATATGAGTGAAAACGGGAAGCCACTCATGACTCCAAAAGGAATGTTTGTATATTTCGCCTAAAGATTTAGTGCGGTTAATCCGACTGCCTGGCCAAGACCTTCTCCTGTTGTAAGAGTGGCAACTAAAAATTATTCCAATACGGCATGAAAATAAAAACTCTTTGTGACGTCACTATATCTTTAGATGAACTTTATATTCCTTCAGATTTGTTTAAATTTTAATGATGTATTATTCTAAAAGGATATTTAATATACTTACTACATGATATAAATAAGTTCTCTAGAGGACCATGAAATTTTTAAAATAATGATGTTAGCATTGCAGCTATTCGACACTTCATTTGACTGTAGCTTGACTACTGTCAAACTCAACAAGGAACGCTTTGATATTTTAAAAATAAATTCATGACCTACTACAGGACTTTTTTCGATCATATGGCATATTAACTCTTACACTTCTGACTTACATTATTTACATAAGGTTAACAAAATTACTTCGAAAATAGTTGTTTTCAGTATTTTCCTGTGACAGATTCTAAATTATTAAAAAAAAAACTATTGAAATTATAAAACCAAATTTTTGACAAAGAATGTGTACATTTATGTACAAAGATAAAAAATAAATACAGAATATTTCATTAATTTTTATCAGAGAAAGAAGAAAAAATTAAGGAATAATCAGATTATGTAAAAATATATAGTATGTTCCCTTTAAAAACAGTTATATACAAGTGTAATATATGCTAATTAAACAGTCGCACAATTTTGGTCTTCAATTTTTTTTTTGGCGTTTGGAAAAGTTGCGAAAAAATTTCCAAAAAAATCTGACATAAATTTTCTTGTGCTGATTCCAGATATACGGTATGTTTATGTTCCTGGTATTTGGTTTGAAAATATATATTTTTTTAGGTTGAAGAAAATTTCAACATTAGAGTTGACGACGATTCTGGAAAAATTGTGGGAAATTTCGAAGGAATGAATTCGAAACTAAATTTTGAAAGTCGAAATCTATAAGAAAATGCCTGAGTTAAATTTCGGAGATTGCCGAAAACTGATCAAAATTTTCATAGGGCTAAGTAGTGAAAAATTTTGCTTTTGAAAATGTTGCCAAAAAATTCCCAAAAAATTCTGGGATATAGGTATACTCCTTCATACTGATTCCAAAAATATAGTGTGGTTATGCTCGCGGTGCAAAATTTAGAAATATTCGTTAAAAAAAAAAACATCCAACATTCTCGAGCTAGAAAACTATAAAAAATGTCTTTAGTTATATTTCAAAAATTGTCGAAATTTGGCTAGAATTTTCATAGGGTATTGAAGAATTTTGCCTTTGAAAAGTTGCGACAAAAATTCCCAAAAAATTCTGGAATATAGTCTTGGTCGTGTTAATTCCAAAGAACAGCACGTTTATGTCTCTGCTGCAATTTTAAAAAATACAACCTGTCCGAATTGCGGTGCATTTTTAATCCGCAACCGAAGTGAGGTGCAAAATTTTGTAACTACCCGATACCTTATACTTAATTCCTGACCGAACTGCGGTAAAATTTCTAGTTAGGGGTTAAGTTGTCTGGCTTTAATCAGGTACCTAAATAATGGGGACAATTTAATACTCAAAATTCTGAATCAAGAAAAATTTAATATATATATAAATTACATGAACACACTATTTATTTCCAAATTTACTGTCAGTAAATCCACTTTGTTTAGTTTTCCATCTTGCCACGTATGAAAAATGAACCGTTGACCACATATATACATACTAATAAATTGTATGGATGGTAGATATTATTATTACTGATGCAGTTCTGAAAGATATAATTTCTGAAATCGTTTAATAAAGCAAATTTGTAATTAAAACGAATCACAAAATAATATCCGAAAATTTCATTACTTTTATATTGATTTTGGCAAATGAGATCCCCTCAAAGAAAATAGAGGGTGGGTGGGCGGGGCTAGTACCTGTTGATGTAAGAGTGATTTTGGCAATTGAGATACCACCTCTTAAGAAAAGACTGACTTTAGCAAATGACGTATCCTCTAAGAAATTTAGTTAAATTATTATAAGAAAAGACACTAGAGGTTCCAAAGCACTTTCAAATTCTCTCCAAACCTAGAACTGATTTAGGCAAATGATCCCCTTTAAGAAACTAAAAACAATTTTAGATTCTATGTATAGGTATCTGTTTACAAACCAAATCGTTTTTCTTGTTTATGTAAAAAATTGACTTTATTCTTGGTTTTTCTCAAAATTTAAATTTAAAGCACTAAATGATGTTTTTACTCTTCTTCGAATCTATTCAATAGCTTTAAGAACAATTCCAGAACCCCTTGAACCCCTAGAGTTTGAGAACAAACCGCAATTCAGTCAGAAGTATCCATGTACTTGATATTTAAGCAAAATTTGCACCTCAGTTCGGATACGACCTTAAAAAAATTCTGTTCGAAAATATACTGCCAGACAAAAAAAACAGAACATTTGAATTTTTGTGATTACCTGGGATTCGTCGAAATTTTGAAAACAATATTTCAAGGAGTAAAATATTAATGTATTCATTAACAGAAAACACAACTTTGTTCTAAAAATATGTGGAAACCGATAAAAAGTAAAATAAGTTATACCTAACACTAAAGATGGGCGTAAAGTTCCAAATATTCAAGTGTCCGTTTTCTTTGTCTGACAATGTATATTTTTTTAAATTCAAAAAATTACAAAATATGGGCGATTCTAGAAAATTTGTTGGAGCTGTCGAAGAAACGAGTTCGAAATTAATTTCTAGAGGTCAAAACTCATAAGACAATGTCTTTGGTTAAATTTCGAAAATTGTCTAAAACTGGCCGAAATTTTCTTAGTTTGAAAACTTTGACTTTCGAAAAGTTGCGAAAAAAATTCCCAAAAAATTCTGAGATATAAATTTCATTGTGCTAATTTCAAAAAACGTGGGTGTTTATGCTCCCGGTGCCAGATTTAAAAATATTCGGTGTGAATATACATATTTTTTAAATCCCAAAACTGCAATAATTATTATTTCAGTGAGCGATTCTGGAGAGCTGGTCTGAAAACTAACTTCTGGATGTCGACAGCCATAAGAAAATGTCTTTAGATAAATTTCGAAAATTGGCAAAAAAATTGTTCTATTCCTTTAATAATTATCTAATGTACAACTCGAGGAAAAAGCGTTTATTGACTCACCCTGGATAATAAATTTCAGCAAGAAAGGAATACCTACTGTATACAGGGTGATTTACAGCACTGCTGCATAATTTTACTAGCGAATTAATTATGTGGTAAAACTAAGTAAATGTCGTTTCTAGGAGCATGGTCAATTTTTTCAAATATATGGCTATCAGATATTCTTTAAGTTTCGTGAATGATTAAAAATTACTTTTCGCCGTGATAAGTGTTCGAGAACAATTCTTCCTGAGACACCTTGATAACATCTCGTTTAATGTTTAGACTTTTTCAAAGAGATACGAATTTACAATCAAGAAAATTATGTGTTTTTTAAGATAATCAAGCAATTTTTTGCTGATAAAATTAACGATTGTGAAAAGTAGTTTTAATAACACTGCAAATTTTAAAATTCTATACCTTCATATATATTAACAACCACCACTGAAAAATATATTTCAAATTAAAGATTTTGTTGGATTTTGTTCATAAAATAGGCAACTTTTTTTGTTAAATAATTTATACAAAAAAATTAACAAAATTTGTCACTCCTTTATTTTACTTTTCATTAAGCAGCTTTTTTGTAACGTTACTTTACTGATTTTTACAGACTAGTAAAATGCAAAACTAAAACTAAAATAATTAAGGCTC